GCGATGCTTGCCACTCTACATAGTGCATACTTGTCGCCTCCTTTTTCGATATGCTTAATGAGTCTACTACAGCCAAGAAATGAATGTGGTTCTCAAGGAAGCTGAAGGCTGCAGTGACTGCCTCCACCTCCATTTTCACACCAGATGCATACCTGTATGGGTTCCGGGTTTACATTGTGGGGGAAATCGAGAATAGATCAACTGTCTATCTAAAAGTATGTCATAAGAGTCGATTAAGTGGGAGCTTCCTACTAAAGTAGAGTGCATTTGCGTGAGAGGCAAGGAACCAACAGTTTGCAAACACATGACTCAGATCTGTTTAAAAAACCTGTATACACACAACACTCATATTCTGGAACAGGACAAGAGCCCAGAAGTGGACGACCAACAAGAACTTCCCGCCTGAGTTTACAGCCGATGAACACAAACAAAGGAGAAGATGAAACAAGATGCTATGGTGTAATATGCCAAACTTTGTTGCATCATCATCATCATCAATGAGCAGGTCTTTTACAGAAGAGTGCACCTGGAAGTCTCTTTTTCTCTAGCTGATTCTCCAGCCTATATGTTTTATAGCCAAAGCATCTTCAGTTTCTTGTGTCCATCTTCACAGGGGCTGCATCTGCATCGTGTTCCAAAACTGCATCCTCCATCGCTGTCCCCCCCCCCCCCCCAGGTCACCATAAAGTTTTACATGACCAAAATGCCTCAGTTTTTGGGTCAGCGTGCTGTTTATGAGCCAATTCTTCTTGATGCTCAGAGTATGTGGGATGGCGGTTTTTTTTTTCTTTCTTTCTTTTTTTTTCTTTCTACGGTATTCTAAAACAGTTTCTACAGCCTTTTAGTTCAAAAGCTCTCCAATTCACTTCTTCATTCTTTAATTGTTCACAACAACAAAATGTGCATATGTGCACTCAATGCTCTTGCAATGACTCTCTGACTCTATTCATATGCAGTCTACTCTGACCAATTCTCGACTACACACACAACTGTACCAGGAACATACATTAAAAAAAAAAAAAAAACACCCATCAAACGGTTGACAGCGCAGTTTATTCTGCAACGATGTCTTCTCGATCGAAACAATGTCATAGATAACTAGTCTAGGGTCTTAGCTATGTTCACAAGCATATTATTACTCAGATTAAACAGAAGGATTCGTAATGGTACTTCATCTCACGCTTGCCCTTTACAAATTCTCAAAACAGCATTATAAACTTCAAAGTCGCAGCTTTCTTTCATTCCTCAATTCCATGACGTCATGGACTGAGTATCCAGGTTTCTCTGGACTGTCAAGCTGAAACAATAACACGCTCTATTATTCAGGATTCATTCCGTTCATACACTTCACACAACAACGAGACTAGATTGAAACAAGACTAGCCTGACTCAGTTTCTCATGGCTTAAATAGCCTCTTCTTTCCTTTCAGAATGTTTTAAGCAAAACACTGCCTGTTTTGCATGAATTTTTGCCATTGACTCAAAATTCAGACTTGCCTCGTAAAATTCGTGCTTACCTCAACTAGACACTCAGTATGTTCACTCATATATTATTCTTAAGACCACCCATTCAGAATAGTATATGAAAATGACATACAAAGGAAAAAATGGCATGAAAAAAATTGCATAGGATCTGTACTGTCATACTAAATATATTAGACTGCTAAGAGTAGAAAACGAAAAGTATTTTGTACAGTCCAGCAATACATTTGCACCTCCCCCTGTAATACTAATGCGTTAAGCTAAGTTAAGATCCTAGATCATATTATTCAAGAATTCCCATAATCGTCCTGTTCTTAACTTCTGCAGCCAGTGTAGTATTTTGATTCCTATGTTATCAGTAGGAATCTATATATCCGGCTGGCCTTTCCTGTGAGTCTTCAGTGTCGGCCAGATCATTCGGTCACTGCTCTCTTCAGACCATGATGATCGATTTGTACTTTCTCACATTTCACTCAATCCCTAAAGACAACGCATACATTTGCATTTAGCTTGTCCTGCATTAGTTTATCACCCAGTGGTGCAGAACCTTACAGTCTGCCTGCCTGTTTATTTTCCCAGACACCTGAATGATTTCGATCAAATTCCCAAAAATGCTAACTATCCACGGTGATCTCAGAAATATACTTTGCACTCTAGTGAAGTTCATACTAGAGACAACATTGCATATATATATGTATATATATATATGTATGTGTGTGTGTGTGTGTGTGTGTGTGTGTGTGTGGATAGTTAGCATTTTTTGGACTTTGCTCGAGATCATTCAGGTGTCTGGAATTTTTTTCAAGGGAACGAAAAAAGAAGAGATTTAGGGAATTAAAGCTGCAATGTATGCTGATGACTTGGTACTCTGGTGTACAAATGAACATGCAACAGTGGCCACCAGACTGCTACAAAGAGCCATAGATGCAATGGCTAAATGGGCCGACAAATGGTGTGTCAGCATCAACATAGACAAATGCAGCACCACCCTCTTTACCCTTTTTCCTAAACAAAACCAGGCGTCATACACATAAATGGAGTACCCCTGAGAGAGGATACGGAGCCCACATACCTCGGAGTAACGTTTGATGATAGGTTATCATGGAGAAAACACATCAACAGGGCAGCAACCAAAACCAGAAGGAGGGTAGCCATTCTGAGAAAACTAAGTGGAACCACATGGGGTGCTAGCGGGAAAATACTTAGGAAAGTTTAACAAAAAAGTGTTCGACCACATCTTGAATACGAATCAACAGCATGGAGTTCGGCATCAAAAACCACATTGCAAGAATTAGACAAAGTGCAAAATCAAGCACTCAGAGTTACCACAGGCAGTATGAAATCAACACCTATAGCTGTGATGGAGAAAATGGGGATGACCCAAGCACTGAGTCAACGCAGAGACATCAAGATGCTTTTACAAACAGAAAAGTTTCTTAGTATGTCCAGTCACCCAATGAATGAAAGATTCCAAAATTTAGCTTTGGGACGACTAAAGAGAAGTAGTTTTATCCACCAGGCCACACGGCTCAGCAGACAAACCACAGATTTGCCTGCAACTTAGATCCTTAAATGCTGTTCCAGAACGGACCCCCTGGAGAGAGGAGTATAAGTTTCCAATACACAAGACTGAAGTGAAAGGGGTATTTGACAAGGAAAAACAAAACATTGTGCAGCGCAAAACAGCCACCCTCAGTCTACTTGATGATAAATACCCACATAATCTTTGGGTCCGTGTTTACACAGATGGCTCAGCAGAAAGCGCAGTCAGAAACGGAGGTGCAGGAGTGTACATTGAGTATCCTAATAATACCAGGGATACAGCCAAAATACCAACAGGAAAGCACTGTCAAAACTATGATGCAGAAGTTCAAGCCATCAAGATAGCTGCAGAGAAACTACTAAATACAGGGTATTTTTCACAACCAGTGGTATTCATGACAGATGCAAAAGCGGTACTTCAGTCACTCCAGTCTGGAAAATTACCAAGCATACGGACACTATTATCCGAACTAGGCAACCGTTGTAACTTAGTAATGCAGTGGATACCTTCCCACTGTGGAGTTCCCGGAAACGAAAGAGCTGATAAACTAGCTAAGGAAGGTGCAACTGAAGAACAACCTGACATACCAGTCTCTTATCAACAGAAGAAGAGAATGATCAAATCAATCAGAATGCCACCGAAACTGGCACAAGACGATTACCATGTTATGGACAGACCAGAGCAAGTCATTATTTTTCGCCTTAGAACAGGGCACAATCGACTTCGCTGCCACATGTACAACAAATTTAAGATTGACCAGTCAGCCATGTGTAACAACAGATCACATCCTTCAAGTCTGTCCCAGATTCAACGCTTTCAGGCAAAACCTTTGGCCAAAAGAGACACTTGTGGAAGTCAAACTTTACGGGCCGCTTAGTGAATTACAAAAGACAGTGAAATTCATACTAGAGACAGCATTGCAAATATAGATAATTTAGTTCATGCGAACGAAAGAAGAAGAAGAAAAAGAGATTTAAATGGTGAATATGTTTAAACAAACGTATACATTTAATAGTTTTCTGAAATTAGCTGGTGTAATTTAAAACACTAGGAGACCTAGGGCTTTATACAGCTTCAGCTCTAATCAAGTCTAAACCCGGTCCTAATCATAGGTGACTGATAGAGCACGAGAAAGGCATATATTGCTAGACCTACCATTTTTAGACAACGGACACTCCGTGGATGATGTGATCACCATTACATCGGTCACCATTACTTCCCAGAACTGGTTTCCATTAAAGGCTGGGTGCACCTGGAAGCCAACGTCATTAAAAAAAAAAGTCTGGCTCCGAGATGACCTGAACTACGGCTAGCTACAACAGTAATGGTGAGCACAGACAGATGTGGACCTGCCTAACAAAATGGGGATTTCCGTAGACCTGTTTGGCCTTACTGTTGGAGCTAGCCGTGTCTGAACCAACGATTTTCGGAACCGCAGGCGATCGTCTAGAAGCAACATATCGGCGGTTTTCCATGAGACAGACTATTATACAATAACCAACATGGCAGGATAGATGCGATACAAGAAAGTAATAATGCAATTTTAAGGCACGCGTTTTTTTTCCTTGGTCACAATACTGAACTAGTAACTAACATGCAACAATTACATATGAGAACACAAAAACATATCACATAAATTGTTTTGCTTAAATATTATTACCGAACGTGCTCCGTTTCGGTTATATCAACATGTGCAAATATATCCGTTTTTAACGTTTAATACACAAGTATTGTGGCAAACATCCTTAACATAATTATGCGCTAATAACTTTTATTTCAATAAATTATTATATTTTTTTAAAATCTCCCAATGGATCAAAGGCACTCAGTCAACTCACGAAGGTTGTCCTGTTTGTTGCTATAGCACGCATTTCACTACATGTTCACTCATCTTTTTAAATTCCACTCCATAGTTGTCTTAATCTTTAAAAGTTCAGAGAAGTTTATTAAGAATATCATACGTATATGTTTTCACTCACAGACTTGTGTTTAATGACTCTACCACTAGCGTTTCTTGTTCCCCTTGGACCTGCGTTATTGAACATTGGTTTTGTCCATTATCTCCTACATTTTGTTCTAACAAAGTCACGGTGCCATATACTCTATTTATGTACAATCTATTAAACATCAATAGGAAAATAAACAAAAGACACACGATTGCAGTCTGACAAATCAATATATAACAAAACCACATGTTGCTAACCTTTTCCATGAGGAATCCCATAATAAGTGGAATGAAAATTTTACCACTTGAAGCAGATATACTAATGCTGGAAGAAACCCGAGCTGTGACTTTTAGTAATTCCGTTTCTGCCCAGGAAAATGCCGCAGGGAACACACCTGACATTCCCAGTCCTGCCAAAGCTGTGAACACAGCTATAGCCGGTACCACCTGATACATTGCACTGATCATAAATCCAACACAGGCAATGATCATCAAAAGTAGGCAGAGCGATAACAGCTGAACAGACGCCAACACTTTGGATGCAAAGATCATTATAAAACGGGAAATGGCAAACGAGATCCAGAATACAGTCATAAGATACACACTTTCTGACTTGGTCATAGAATCGTATTCATTGATCAAGAAAGGCATAAGATAGGACGCAAACGTGAGTTCAACACAGCAATACACCATTAAAATACCGCATACAGTTGTTATTATTAGCACATGTAAACAACATGGAAGTTGTCTGTAAGTAATTTTAACGTTTGCAGTTTGTTTAGGGCTTGATTGTAGCTTAAACGATCTGTGCTTAATAAACAATATGCCAAATGGTATACTGGCTAAGACCATGAGAATGCCAGATATAAGGTATGCGTGTTTTACGTCCGTTGTCTGAGGAATAGATACATGTTCTAACTGAGAAGAATTTCCAACTGTTACATTACGTGTACTTGTTTCATTTTCCATCATTCGTTGAGCAAGAAAGGGCTCTGTGTACAAGGGAGCTAAAACTCCACCAAAAGCAAAGGAAAAATGTATAATCTGCATCAGAACGTTGCCCTCACTTCTCCACATTTTCATGTGCCAGGTGTTTCCGGCTGAAACAGAGAATGCAATTGTTTCAGTTACATTCAGCTAATAATGTTAAAGTAGTCATGTATGAAATGTAATTTCACAATAATAATAATAATAATAATAATAATAATAATAATAATAATAATAATTAAATAATATTAATATTAAAACAACAATCTAGATTTTAATATACCATAAACAGTAATAGCAGATCACAAAACGTTGGCTTTGATGTTGATAGCTGAAGATAAAGAGTCCTAATCACTAAAGTCACCCCATCTCGTTCGCTGTCCTATGTATAGACTCGTTACGACGTGACTTGCTTCAAAAAGCGGCTGCCGCAAGTTTGTTTTTGCAATGTTTTTTGTGAACGGTAGGTCCCTTCACGGCCGGGACCAGCTTTTAGGACAACTAGGTCAACATAAATTTATTAAGCCGTTTGTGGCCTTTGTGGCCGAAAGCGTCTGCGTACGAGGATGAAGTACAGCGCGGGAAAGCGCCCAAGGTGCGATGCTTCGTGAGTATCAATCATTGATTTAAAAAAATATTAATACGCTCCCTGCGCTGTCGTCGCTAGTGGATCTGCTTGAAACGGTCAAAAGGAGGAAAACATGACACCCATAGACTAGCTATGGGAGTGTCCCAACAAATCCTCTACGAAATCACGCGGCCGTCGAGATGGGGTGATTTTCGTAATCTGTACCAAACAAAGTTACCAGAGGAATTATTGTGACTGATTATCAGTCGGTATTGCTAGGAATCACGTACTTAACTTTGTATTTCATTTTACCGAGAACAAAAAACTTTGAACTTACATGTATCAACAGCTCCAGCAAAAAAGCCAATTAATGTTTGAATGAAGATCATCAGTGTGTACTGGCTACAATATGGAGCGATAATTGACACTGCACCGCATCCGGAAAGCCCTGTAACAAATAGCAGCCTAGTTTTAACCTAAATGTGACAAGAAGATAGTTATTCTGGAATGGTTAACAATAAAATATAATATTACCGCTTATGTTATGTTTAATTAAACGTTCTTATTTTAACTCTCTTATTTTAACTCCTCTCCTGCACTTCTTCTATTGCTGTTATTATTTTTTGTCAGCCGTTGTTGCTGATCCTTCTACAATAAAACAACAAAACAGCAAACTACTACTACTACTACTACTACTACTACTACTACTACTACTACTACTACTACTACTACTACTACTACTACTACTACTACTACTACTACTACTACTACTACTAATACTACTACTACTACAACTTTTACTACTACGACTGCTACTACTACTAATAATGCTGCTACTACTACTTCTACAACTCCTACTACTACTACTACTACTACTACTACTACTACTACTACTACTACTACTACTACTACTACTACTACTATTACTACTAACATACTATTATTACAATACTACTACTATACTGCTGCTACCATACTACTACTAAAACTACTAATAACCACCACTTCTAACAATAAATAATACTTCTCATCAATTTCTCATCGACAAATACTCCTCTTCCTCCTCATCTCATTGTCATCATCGTAATCGACATCCGACTACTCTTTGTCATTCTTCTTTTTCGTGTTCCTCTTCTAATCTTCCCCCTCTTTTTCTGTATGTATGTATGTATGTATGTATGTATGTATGTATGTATGTATGTATGTATGTATGTATGTATGTATGTATGTATGTATGTATGTATGTATGTATGTATGTATGTATGTATGTATGTATGTATGTATGTATGTATGTATGTATGTATGTATGTATGTATGTATGTATGTATGTATGTATGTATGTATGTATGTATGTATGTATGTATGTATGCATGCATGCATGCATGCATGCATGCATGCATGTATGTATGTATGTATGTATGTATGTATGTATGTATGTATGTATGTATGTATGTATGTATGTATGTATGTATGTATGTATGTATGTATGTATGTATGTATGTATGTATGTATGTATGTATGTATGTATGTATGTATGTATGTATGTATGTATGTATGTATGTATGTATGTATGTATGTATGTATGTATGTATGTATGTATGTATGTATGTATGTATGTATGTATGTATGTATGTATGTATGTATGTATGTATGTATGTATGTATGTATGTAGTATGTATGTATGTATGTATGTATGTATGTATGTATGTATGTATGTATGTATGTATGTATGTATGTATGTATGTATGTATGTATGTATGTATGTATGTATGTATGTATGTATGTATGTATGTATGTATGTATGTATGTATGTATGTATGTATGTATGTATGTATGTATGTATGTATGTATGTATGTATGTATGTATGTATGTATGTATGTATGTATGTATGTATGTATGTATGTATGTATGTATGTATGTATGTATGTATGTATGTATGTATGTATGTATATGTATGTATGGATGGATGGATGGATGGATGGATGGATGGATGGATGGATGGATGGATGGATGGATGGATGGATGGATGGATGGATGGATGGATGGATGGATGGATGGATGGATGGATGGATGGATGGATGGATGGATGGATGGATGGATGGATGGATGGTGGATGGATGGATGGATGGATGGATGGATGGATAGATGGATGGATGGATGGATGGATGGATGTATGTAAGTATGTATGTATGTATGTATGTATGTATGTATGTATGTATGTATGTATGTATGTATGTATGTATGTATGTATGTATGTATGTATGTATGTATGTATGTATGTATGTATGTATGTATGTATTTATGTATGTATGTATGTATGTATGTATGTATGTATGTATGTATGTATGTATGTATGTATGTATGTATGTATGTATGTATGTATGTATGTATGTATGTATGTATGTATGTATGTATGTATGTATGTATGTATGTATGTATGTATGTATGTATGTATGTATGTATGTATGTATGTATGTATGTATGTATGTATGTATGTATGTATGTATGTATGTATGTATGTATGTATGTATGTATGTATGTATGTATGTATGTATGTATGTATGTATGTATGTATGTATGTATGTATGTATGTATGTATGTATGTATGTATGTATGTATGTATGTATGTATGTATGTATGTATGTATGTATGTATGTATGTATGTATGTATGTATGTATGTATGTATGTATGTATGTGTGTATGTATGTATGTTTGTATGTATCCAATAAAGAATCCCAGATGTACAAACTCAGAGAAGTTACCTTGTTGAAGACAACACCAGAAAACAGAGACCCGGCCATGTAGCCAGCAGTAAAGCCCGTTAAGAACGCCGAGGCACCCTCCAGGTCAGTCCCAGTAATAATCTGTAGCACTAATCTGGCCCACTGCTAGACCCTGCCAATTTGCATGTCAGCAGTAAATATCAGAAATTAAAACTAATACTAAACTTAGAGTTTTTAATTCTAATATCAAATTATAACTGTTGTATGGAGAACAACTAAGGCAGTTACTAATAAACTACAAACTACATACATTCATTAACTGGTGCTTGAGCAGAATCGAGGGATTAAATAGTATAAAAGGATCACGATTTTCCTCCGAAGTCGGAGTACATCTGCCGAAGAGGCGGGGAACGAGAACTGCGAACAAATAAGCCAGTAAAACGGATGTACACGCAAAACTCAGGTCAAGGTAAAAGCCAAAAGTCCATTTTGGACGAACAACCGCGACTTACCGCCGGAATTCACAGCCGGTGAACAAGAAGAAGAAGAAAAGGATCACGATTGTAGAGCTTTGGGGGAATAAGTAAACAATTTCCAGTGGACAAGAGGTGTAGAAAAGACACTGGTATTGGATGGGACACACGTTGAGAAAACAGGAGAGCAATATAACTAGAATGTCTTTACATTGGAACCCACAGGGGCATAGTAATAAAGGAAGATAAAAACACATGGCGAAGGGAGCTGGAGAGTGAGGTTAAACAGAATATATGTTTTGATGTTTTTTGTTACTGTTTGCTTTTTCTTTCTTTTTTTTTCAAAACTGTATATTTAATGTTTAATGATTACAAGGAATCGACATCACTACACTCGGGGCATTCCCATTAGCGCCAGTTCCAACAACACCAGGAACAGTATGACTGTATCTGCGTCTCATCTTTTTCATGAGGGTTGAGCGTTGGACGGATCCTGAGCACTCCAAACAGCTCCATTCTCTTCAGACTGTGATGAACCATAAGTGCCTCCTCACTGTTCGTGCCTCTAGAGGACCCTTACAACATCTAGCTTCTCATGCATTAATGTAAATTAAAACTGTATTAAAGGAGCGAATGAACTGACTCAATGAACTGGACTGCAGACGTGCTACAATGGACTCATACTGGTAAAGACCAATGTTCACATCTCCGTGTTCAACCTAAAAGCAAGTTTCCAACCTAGGTCCAGTACATCGTAGATAATTTCGATGTTTTCTTTAAAGTCGGAGTACGTCTGTCTGTGATGCAAGAAGCAAGAGTCTGTAAGCATAAGACTTTATACCATAACCTAACTCGCAGTAGAGGAGCAACAGTTGCTAATCTATCTATCGGCATGTTCTTTGCCCTGCACATCCGAATATCTGAGCAGAAAATCCGTGATGTGTCTTTAATGTTTGATTCTTATCAGGCACAAGAGTATCTTGGGGGGGGGGGGGGGACATACAATAGCATGCAAGTTATGTATTCTTATTTCTTGATCTGGCATCTCATTCATATGTTAGGTCAGTCTATCCAAATATTAGTATTGCAGTTGTCAGATTATGTCCCTTTGCGCTCCACAGTTCTTGGCAACCCTCTTCCGACTTAACACAGTTATGTGCCCCACTGTCCTTGCTTAGTTGTAGTGCTTAGTGCAATGTAACATTTTGTTGGTTAGTTGTGAAGTGTAAAAGCAACATTCCCACGTCTTTAGCAATCCCGGCAAAGGTCTATATTTTGTATAGACCACTCGACACTTGGCTGATGATATGGCCAACATCACGTCGACCATCGTTATTCCCTTGACATTATCTAGTACCCATTTTAGATAGACCTGGAAGCCAAGGGCTTTGGAATAAAATCATCCTCGCTGCTGATTAAGCGCCAGACCTTCGGACTTGTATGTAAGGGCGTATGTGTAATGTCCAGGACACAAACAACATATCTGCACACTGTGTCAGAGTGGTAATGGACACACATTGTACGCCTGTACTCTGTTATTGTGGTAGTAGACACATACTGAATGACCGTACTAGGTTATGGTGGTAGTAGATACATATTGTACGCTTTTACGCTGTTATTGTGGTAGTAGACACATACTGTATGCCTTTACTCTGTTATTGTGGTAGTAGATACATATTGTACGCTTTTACGCTGTTATTGTGTTAGTAGACACATACTGTATGCCTTTACTCTGTTATTGTGGTAGTTGATACATATTTTACGCTTTTACACTGTTATTGTGGTAGTCGACACATATTGTACGCTTTTACTCTGTTATTGTGGTAGTAGACACATACTGTATGCCTTTACTCTGTTATTGTGGTAGTAGACACATACTGCATGCCTTTACTCTGTTATTATGGTAGTAGACAAATACTGTATGCCTCTACTCTGTTATTGTGGTAGTAGACACATACTGTACGCTTTTACGCTGTTATTGTGGTAGTAGACACATACTGTCTGCCTTTACTCTGTTATTGTGGTTATATTCAGGGCCCCCAGCAAAAGCCAGGGTAGGGCTTCAAATTACATAAAATTGCATTCCACATGGGGAATAGTATTAGTCCAAGAGCATAAATGAGTAGTAAACGATTTAAAACGTCTTCAAAGACTATATTTCACTAAATTTGAACGCATTTTCAGAGGGGAAAAAAAAACGTTAACATGTGTGGCATATCAAATAAGTTATTAACTTACCAAAGTTAAGAAAGACAAGGAGATCAGCCATGAATGCAGTAAATTACTTTTGTACTCCCTGTCTTGCATACGTTCCTGCAGTGAACTGAACCATTTTGTTACTGTTATTTTGTCATCCCCCTTTGACGATGTTTCCCTTGACGAAGTTTCCTTAACGAGACTTTCGCGCTGTTTTTGCACGTCTCTTGCAGTGTCCGCCATTAAATCGGGCATTCTGTGCGGGTTCGTAAAATTATTAACATATTTACTTGCTTTTTCTGTAACATAAATGTTTTACATTAAATAACAGTTATCTGGTTCGACAGTAGCTGTATCAGTGTCAGATAGGAATAACATAGAGAAAGCACAAAAATGATTGAAGCCTACACACGGTATTAAATAGGTAAGCCCATAAGGAAGGACAATAACATTAACAATGAATCCTACCATAATGTTTGAATAAACTAACTGCATATGGTGTGAGAATAGCTACAAAATCAAACCAGAAATGGAATGTTGTGAGCTGGTTCAGTAACCATGCTCGATTTGGAAGATGAATAAGGAAAAGACGATGAAGAAAAAGAAAGCAAAAAAGAAATAAAGGAGGAGGGGAATGAGGAGAAGAAGAAGAAGAAGAAGAAGAAGAAGAAGAAGAAGAAGAAGAAGAAGAAGAAGAAGAAGAAGAAGAAGAAGAAGAAGAAGAAGAAGAAGAAGAAGAAGAAGAAGAAGAAGAAGAAGAAGAAGAAAAAGAAGAAGAAGAAGAAGAAGAAAAAGAAGAAGAAGAAAGAGGAGGAGGAGGAGAAGAAAAAAAAAAGAAGAAAACGAAAGAGAAAAAAAATTGAAATTTTTCCATTAAATAAAAGCTAGGTTACGACATAAAGAGTTAACATTGCAGTAAATATACATAGTGTTAACAATGACGTCACGTGTCCTGAGCTCGATCCGTGTTCAGTGGAGTGTGATATAACTGATCTGGATTGCCAGATTAACTCAGCCTAAATTAAGTACCAAAAATTGTCAGTGGCAAGCAAAGCCACCCGTCGTGATGTTGACCGTATCACCCATTGACTTCCGATTGGTCTATAAAATATGTCTAGCAACATCTGGCCGATGTGTCAGTACAAAAAGTCCTTTACTACTACTACTGCTGCTGCTGCTGCTGCTACTACTACGACTCATGCTACTGTTGCTACTACTACTACTTCTACTACTAATGTCTCTGCTACTGCTGCTGCTGCTGCTACTCCTTCTGCTGCTTCTACTGCTGCTGCTGCTACTACTACTTCTACTACTACTTCTACTACTAATGTCCCTGCTACTTCTGCTACTGCTGCTGCTGCTGCTGCTACCACTACTACTAGTGCTGCTGCTGCTACTACTAATACTACTACTAATACTTCAACTACTACTACTGCTACTACTACTTCTACTACTACTACTACTACTACTACTACTACTACTACTACTACTACTACTACTACTACTACTACTACTTCTACTACTACTACTACTACTACTACTACTACTACTACTACTACTACTACTACTACTACTTCTACTACTACTACTACTACTACTACTACTACTACTACTACTACTACTACTATTACTACTACTACTACTAGTACTACAACTACTACTACTACTACGACTTCTACTAATGTCTCTACTACTACTACTACTACTACTACTACTACTACTACTACTACTACTACTACTACTACTACTACTACAACAACTACTACTACTACTACTACTACTAATACTTCTACTACTACTACTACTACTACTACTACTACTACTACTACTACTACCACTACTCTTCCTACTACTACTACTACTACTACTACTACTACTACTACTACTACTACTACTAACACTACTACTACTACTACTACTACTACTACTTCTACTACTACTACTACTACTACTACTACTACTACTACTACTACTACTACTACTACTACTACTACTACTACTGCTACTACTACTTCTACTACTACTACTACTACTACTTCTACTACTACTACTACTACTACTAGTACTACTACAACTACTACTACTACTACTACTACTACTACTACTACTACTACTACTACCACTACTACTACTACTACTACTACTACTAGTACTACAACTACTACTACTACTACGACTTCTACTACTAATGTCTCTACTACTTCTGCTACTGCTGCTGCTTCATCTTCTTCTCAGCGCCACCGGCTGTAAACTCCTAAAGAAAGTTCTGGTTGTTCGTTCACTTCTGGACTTCGGTCTTGTTTTACAGACCTAGCTTTTTGTTGTTGTAGACAGATTGTTTATTTCTCGCCTACCAGGCAGAGTCACCCCTACTTCGAAGAAACAACTATAAATGGTGGCCTCTTACGACACGTTTGTTGGTCAGGCTGTTTGTCCTCCCCCTCAATAACCCACACAGAGAGGTCCTTTACGTAATTTACCTTATTAAAGGTTGGGCTGACCTCGGGGCAGATGTAAACATTTTTAAAGAATGTAGTAATTAAATATATAATATTTAAAAGTTGCCTAAACCGTATATAAAGTATACATTTCTATACACATATACCTACAGCAGACAACAAGTTGATACAAACCACCACTGTGTCCGGAAGGAATAAGATGAATAGAACAATTTAGAGAATCGAAAACTAACCAAATGTTACCTGAGGTTATTAAACCAGTACTGACAAGGCTTTACAGTCTCATGGAGTTCCAGACCATTGTTGATTACTGCAAGTAGCGCATAAACCGTTTTCAGGTCCAGTTATGTTCATGAAACCAGCTTGCATGTACGTGGTCGAATGATACATATATATATAAATATGTGCTGGGACACGCGTATCATATTGTTCTCCTAGTTTACTTGTGGCTTTTCTAATCACCTGTCTAAATGTATACATTTGCACATATTCATTTGATATTTGGTTATAGTTGGGTGTAAGATGCCTTTTAGTTTAACTTAATTTCTTCCTAAAGCTTGTTTGTAAAATAACCCATATATGTAACCTTCAATGGCATCCGTCGCCGTGACATATTTTTTGTAGACAAATCGGCACTTGCAAGGTGGTAATCACCATACAGGCCGCATTTACTTCCCATAATATCCTGGTGCTCATTTTACACTGTCGATCTTTGAGCTGTAGGTCAATTATAAAAATCGATTTCTGTGTGTATTAGCTGCGAATGAAAAGAGAATTACCTGAAGAAATTAAAAATATAACAGACATTTGAAATATTTCGGTCACATTAAAAAGACATAACACCCTTTCTAAAACTACACTGGAGAGGAAACGTTTAAGGCCAGAGAGTAAGAAGTAAACATCGATACAAGTGGAAAACAAAACCAAGAGATGAACAGCAGTCTCAGAGATGGTACTACCAAATTAAGACAGAGAGTTGAGATGAGTTAAGTTGAGAGGATCCTTGTGAGGAACCCATGGAACCTTAGAGAGATTAGACGTTCTGATGATTTTGGAGGCAACGTGTCCACGTCACTGCAAACAATACGAGAATTGGGAGTAAAGATCGGCACAGCCAAGCACAAGAAGCTCACCAGACACACATGAAGTCTTGTTAAGCAACGTAGGACTGGCACTGTTAACCTTGCTACGTTGATGAATATGTTGAGAGGGGAATCTGAGCGCCTATGGATGTGTCCGGATTGCTGTGAAGATAATCTAACTCATAACTTATAATAGACCCCATCTATGCAACCAACCAATCCAGAATCTTCTCGCTCTGTTGCCATAAAATTTGCCAACTGTAGCCGTGTTTTCGAGTTTATTACTTCTCTTAACATGGTCCTCAATAACATAATCCACATTTTTACTGTTAGTCTGCTGCTGCAATTGTTGGTGCTTCTTCTTCTTCTTCTTCTTTTCTCCTCCCCCTCTTCTTCTTCTTCTTCCTTTTCTTCTTCTTCTTCTCCTCCTCATTCTCCTTCTTCTTTACCTCAGCCCCCCATCTCCGTATATTTCTTTCAAAATACAATAGAATTTTATTCCCACAACAAGCGATTCTATTCCTTTACAAAAGTAAATTAACGCTAAACGAAAACGTAAGCAAATTCATCCAGTGGTCATTTTCACTGGTTTGTCAGTTGGTTGAAAGATTACAAGTAACTACTGCAGGATAAATGTACGCAATGTAAAAAGAGCCTCCAAACATTCTCAGATCAATAAAAATCTGAATTCTTCGTTTATTTATAGCAGAGTTTAATCTTTAAAATTCTGTCATCAAACATTTTAAAGTTTTAACATCCACACACAACGGCATATTTATTAACATAATCATTGCCTTCAGGTAAAGGAATAAGAATTACATTTGGATATCAGTTTATTATACATTTAAAAACAAATAGTGTGATAAACTCAAATGGCACAACTTGGCTCTGGGGCCGTGGTAAAGCAGTGACTAGATCTAAATCTCCTGGTCAAATGACATAGGAGAAGTAAAGGCAAATATCAAGGTTTTGCTACGTTACATTTCAATTGAAGATCCCACCCTTCACTGGGGCCTGAGTCAGGGACCTCTAGCACCAGAGTATGACACCATGCCTCGAGACCACCCAGCCCCCTATTTTAGCCCCTTTTTGTAGACTGACATGACCACGTACGTCATGTATCATGAGCTTTAAGAAGAAGTTTCAATCGAAGTCGGAGTGCGTCGGCATGGAAAGCAAAGAATCAACAGTCTGCGTACACAAAAGACAGATGAGTAAAACGGATATGCAACCAAAACTCGAGTCCTGGAACAAGACCAAAGTCCATAAATGGTCGAACAACAAAGGCTTTGTGTCGGAGTTTACAACCGGTAAACGCGAAAAGAAGATTATTACTAAGCACATACTGAACGCTATGGTGGTTTGGATTTGATACTTTCGTTCCGAATCCTTTAAGGATGTTGCAGAACCAACACCTTGATTTGTTGCATGATTTGGTTTTACTACGCAAATTTTAATTCAGTGGTTTGTAATTGTTTCTAAACTGTCAGCTCTCGATTCCACTGTAGAAATAAACGCAAAGCGATCTGCTGCCAATTACACCGGGTACATCGGAATAATTAAGCGCATTTGCAATGTCCAAGCCACGGACTGGGGCTGGGTGGTCTCGAGGCATGGTGTCCGCTTCGAGTGCTAGAGGTTCCGGGTTTAATCCCCGGAAAGGGCTGGGATTTTTTCACGTGGATAGGGACTTCTAGAAATTGCTAGTGGTGTCTGGGTAGTGAGATCGGACGCCCGTGTGCATTGTTGCGCATGTAAAGCATCTCTTGGCTGTTGGAAATCGAAAAGAGTAGCCTAACAGCGCTGCCCGGGCAAAATGTGGAGTTTAAAATCTACCCAAAGTATTTCAAGATCCTCCCCGCTGCTACAGAACCTGTGCAATGCGCTTAGCTTCTTCGGACTCACACTTGAGTTAGAAAAAGAACTGAGCTTTTATGGGTTACACCCGTGAGCCATGATATTGATTTATTGTTCAAATCTCAAACCACAAACCTTAGCTACAGACTTGGACATGATCTCGGCATAATACACTAACAAACGGAGAGTATGCTTCCAGAAAGAAGATGTAGGTCACGATGGTGGACACAGTTTATTAAGAGCCAACTCGCCCTGAACTTTAGCACAATGGATGAGATGCAGTTGTGTATAGTAATAGTTCTTTTCATTGAAAAGTAATATCTGGCTGGGAGTTTTCAGCTAATCGTAGTGGAACAGACATGATACTTTTTTTTCCATCTACAACTTCAAGCACGAAAAAAGGGGTAGAGGCAACCAATGCAGCTGTGAAGTGGATAGAGTTGTCAGAAAAATTATCGTTTTTGATTCTCAGTCGGTAATGTGGAAGGCTTGTTTGTTGTTTGTTTTAGTATCCAGAAGTCATGAGTTGTTAACCCTCGGTATTATGGATATCGCAACCTTTCGGCCTTGATTCAAATGTAAATAAAGTAAATCTGGGAGAAATGTGGCTTTTCTGCCTACCCCCGGAAGTGAACCGGACCACAAGGAGTTCGTCACCCGGTCACCGCGCAATCCAGTTTAACCAACTACGCTAGAGAGCAGGGGGTTGCGGAAGGTTTAAAAGGGACAACTGTAGCACGAGTAAAAAAAAAAGTATCAACACGTCAACATTGTAGGGACTCAGGGACGCGTGAAAGGCGGATGTTTTTAGCTGCTAAAGCGATAACTATAGAAACACTCGTACTAAAAAAAGAGACATTTCGAAGACCATTTATTACCTCTTGCTGATAGAAGACACGAGGTTAGATGAAAACAAAACATGTGCAAGAATGCAAGAACAAAGAATTAGGCGTGTACCTGACGAGGAGAGACGTAGGAGAGAAGAGAACGATGTGTGTATAATCAGTGTGCTACGGAAACAGTCAGCATCTACACTTTAAAACATTTGCTGCGGGAAAGAAGGTATGCCTAGTGTGCTACGATGTCGATCCTGACATCAGTAAAATTAGTCGATAAACTGGCAAATTTTGACAAAGAATGACTGGCTTTTCAAAGTGAGAATATGAGGGTGACGTTCGTCAAAAAATGTAATCATATGCGACTATGCTTCATGCATTTATATTAAATTATATGTTCATAAAATCACTTGGTCCTTTTTCTGGCGCTTTATTAATAACTGATCTTGCTCATTATCTATATCTAACGTTTCTATCAAGATTATCGGACCATATACTTTGTTTAGAAACAGTTTATTCAAAAAGTACAGAAAAATAAAAATGAGACAAACCAGCACGGTTGTACCTAGTACTGTGTAACAAAACCACCAGTTGCTGACTTGGTCCATAAGAAAACCCATAATGACAGGAATAATGATTCGCCCACCGCTCCCGGTTATCATAATACTTGAAGATACCCGGGGTGTGACTTTTAGCAAGTCAGTTTCAACCCAGGAATATCCTGCAGGAAAAATGCTTGACAAACCTAGCCCTGCCATTGATGTGAATACGACTATAGCTGTGATGGACTTCAGTACTACGCTGATAAAAAACCCGATATACGCTACAAGCATGACTAGTACACATAGTGATAATAACTGCAGAGACGATATTACCTTTGATACAAAGATCATAATGAATCGGGATAAGGCAAATGAGGCCCAAAGGGCAGTAGTTATATACAAACTTTCTGATGTTGTCAAGGAATCAAATTCGTTGACAAGAAAAGACATAAGAAAGGAAGAAAACGTCAGCTCGGCACAGCAATAAAACAAGAACATTAAGCATATATTTGTTAGCATGAAGAGGTGAAGAAAGCATGGGAGTTTTCTGTGAGTAATTTGAACGTTTGTATTTTTTTCGGAATTCGTTTGGATTGTAGGCGAACGTTGTTTAATGAACAATACAACCAGTGGCACACTTGTTAAAAGGAGAATCACACCAGAAATAAGAAAGGCGTAATATACGTTGGTGTCTGAAAATCTGGAAGTTGGAGATACACCAGAAGCATTTCCAGTTGTCACATTGCTCGTGCCTGACTCAGTGTACATAATTCGTTTGGCCAGAAAGGGTTCCGTGTATAGGGGAACTATAACTCCACCAAGAGAAACGGCAAAGTGCATTGTCTGCATCATCACCTTTGCCTGATTTCTCCACATCTTCATCTGACAGGCGTTCCCAGCTGAAATAAAGAATAACATTTATTTTTGGTACCTACATTTTAGACAACCCCCACCTCGTCGTCTTCGAGAGATCGTAGGGAATTGCTAATAATTTTCTTGGACAGTCCCATATTATAGGGATAGAGGGTTTTAGGGTTAGGGCTAGTGATAAATTAATAGCTATTAGTACTAACCCCCTCCCCCTTTTTTTTCACCCATACTGTGGGACGTTCTGGTGATTTCCCTACCAAATCTCGAAACCGACGTGATGGGGGATTATCCAAAATCAAAATATCTTATTTTTCTTTATTCGTCTTGAAATTATAGTAATCAAATGAATGAACGAAACAGTCGAAGTATCAATGTATTTTTAAATCAAGAATTGATATCACAGCAATCAGAACATTCACACACATGCTCTGTGTTCTGCTTTAGTCGGCAAGGACCAGTTCCCATACTAATGGTGCTAGTAGCAACCTGATTAACTGACTGTGTGTCTTTTCTCCTGATTATTAAATTTTGTTCCAACTCTGCTTACTCCCTGCTTAAATGGATATTCAATCAGTTTAGTTGCAATGTCTTGATCCAGGAGGACCGTCAACACGTTTGACTTATGACGTACTCGCCGCCCAGCCACTGTAGCAGCCAGTGCATCTGTCTGATCATTTACTTGCATACCTGGATAGCCTTAGCAGAAATTCCATGATACCGTGTCAGTTCCGTTTCACTGTCCTCTTGCTCCATGAGAACCGTCAAAACAGCAGGGCGACAGCAGCCAACGCACCCGTCTGATAATTAACTTACCTACCCGGATATCTTTAGCAGACATTTCATGTTATGGCCATGGCATGAATCTTATCAAGCGGAGACACACACACACACACACACACACACACACACACACACATACACACACACACACACAAATACAATGTGTTTTGTCGTTGCTGTGTCATGATTCTCTCCGTCAACATCATCAACTATACATCGACATAAGTTTACACCACTCTGACAGTACTATCAAGATCTTTTACAAGAAGGGTTCCTTTGAAACCGAATGCAAGTGCGAACGTTGAACATGATCATGTTATGGTTATGTAATAAATGCTGAGCAATAAATGAAAGAAAACAAAAGCCCATGCTTATCTAATGCATAGCGTCTGCTTCTGAAAATTTGGAAAAACTTATCCAAAATTCGATCAGAGAAGCTCAAAGTGAGGTGATTCGGTTTCTTTCTTTTAAAAAATATCCACTGGTGGATGTTTATCAAAACATGTAGGCAGCGTCCGATAACAAATGTGTCAAAGACAACAGTGACAGAGCACGACTGTTTAAGAAAAGCTGTGAGTTCGGACAAGCGACAAACACCCGATGACACAAAGTGCCACCATGTGGATGAGGATCACCCGTGGAGAGGTCCCGGAAACCGCGTTCAGCCATTAGGCCATATTTATGGCAGGGCTGTACTGCGGCCCCAGGCAAAAACCAGGGTAGGGCTTCAAGAAACGAAAAATTGCATCCCATAAGGGGATGACAGATGTTACTTTTCCATAATTTTTGTCTGTTGACTGTTTCAAAAGCTTTCTCTTGATCTAAAAATGCTACACATAAGTTCTTATCATATTTGATGTTCTTTTCTGGTTAACTGTTCAAGTGTGAAGATTGCATCTGGGCAGCTTCTATTTCTTTTGAAAACGATATGATCTTTTTTCAACTATGGTTTTATCACTGATCGCAGCCTCGTTTGTATTATCTTATCATACTTTTTTCCAACATGACTTGAAATAGATGCCCGAATTCTAACTGCACACTCGCTTGCTTTCCTTTAAAAATTTTTATTTTTATTTTTATAATTATTGCTTGACGCCAGTCAATGGGAGCAGTTTGTTATACCCATGCCGTATTGAATATTCTATGGAGTCATACTGAATATTCTATGGAGTCATACTGAATATTCTATGGAGTCATACTAAATATTCTATGGAGTCATACTGAATATTCTATGGGGTCATACTGAATATTCTATGGAGTCATACTGAATATTCTATGGAGTCATACTGAATATTCTATGGAGTCATCTAATGTTGCTCTCACCCGCTGCTTGGATTATTTCTGTTGGCAATCTATCAGCTCCTAATGCTTTATATTTGGATGACTGCCTATTGACTAACTACTTCAGTAAATATATATCAGGTTTTAGCACTGTTGCTTTGTAGTCTTTAGTTCTTTCCTGGCAATTTCCTAATGGGTTAAAGAGCTGACTGAAGTATTCTCTCCATCTTTCAGATATCACTGGTGGGTCTGTTAATGTTTTTCCTGTTTTATCGGTTATTACTACTGTTGTGTTGTAGCTCTCATCTCTTTTCCGTATAGTTTTTACTACTTTGAAAAATTTTGTGCTGGCTGTATTCTCATTTTCTGCTAATCTTCTTCTTCTTCTTCTTCTTCGCGTTCACCAGCTGATCACTCTGGCGGAAAGTTATGGTTGCTCGTCCACTACTGAACTGCAGTCCTGCTCCAGAACCTGAGTTGCGCGTGTGCATCAGTTTTACAGATCTCATTCTCTTGAATACAGACTGTTGGCTCCTTGCCTCTCCGGCAGATGCACTCCGACTTCGAAGGAAGCTCCTCATTTAGTCGACTCTCACGACATGCTTTTGGTGAGGCAGTGGGTCTATTCTTGTTTTCCCCTACAATGGGGCCCCGGAATCCACACGGGGGATTTTCTGCTTGTCGTGAAATGATAGCCATTACGCATCGGTCTGTAAGGCTGATAACCTGTCTTACCTGTAATCTGCACAAAATTCAAACTTGGACTCGCCCAGAAATATATAGTCCCTTATATCTATATATATAGGCCTGTATTGGACAACATTATTATGTCTGCCTTTTCTGGTTACTTTAACTAAACTCCACTTTTAAATGTATATCTCTTGGGGATATATTTAGGGAGTTAATTGAGGTTTCTTGGAAACCGATTTACTCCTTGCCCCAGTATACAAGGAACTTCTTTTGTACCAACGCCTGAAATGTCTAACTGACGCCATTCTCCTTGCCAGCTTCTCAAGCCTCCAGATGTGTTAATCTGTGCCTGTATACTGTCAATTTTCAAGGCAATCTGGAAATGTCTCAGTTTTTACATATGCTTGGGTAAGTTAATTATAGTTTACGAGTACCTAGAATGTTGTCTGTAAAGTAGTCACTGCTGTAGAGAAATCCATATCGGCTGTGTGATCTCACTTAGTTCTACCATTCTTGATCGCTAGAGTAGCGGATTCGAACGTAGATCTTCCACTGTACAGACTAAATAGCTTATGCCCTCAATAAACCACCCATACTGATAAACATTTAATGCCCTTACAATTGTGTACGTTTTACTACTTACAGAATCTGTACATACGTGATGGGGACAGAATTGGGTCAGGGCTGTGTTAATCAAAGTATGTGTGTGCTTGACCCAGATCAATGAGTGCTGGGGCGGTTGGGAAAACTAGTGAATGCAGGTACTGACAGTAAATATTGGTGTTTGTGTGCAGAGTGAGGGGGATAGGGGGAGATGATATATGTGTTAGACCACTTTATCTATCTCCACTGCATATCTGACTTGCCTTCTCTTGCACTAAACAGACAGATAAATATAGGAGACTTATGTCTTTTGGTCTGGAGAGGCAATCTGAGGAATGAAACAGGAGAGCAGGGAGGAGTCAGCAGATGGGAGTTGATGACTATGCTTGCTCTGTCTTTCCTGTCAAGATGTTACCCTCTTGATGATGACTAATGTTGAGTTATTTTCTTGACAGGATGTATATTTTCTGAAGAGCTGGCAGAAGATTCACAGTCTCAACAACATCCACCCACCAATCCAACCACCAGAACCAACTTGTTACCCACCAGCTAACACCTGTGAAGGTTCCTGACATCTCCAAAAATGGGGGAGATTGTGCCTCAAACAGCTACCAGTGCCAGAGTAATGTGGCTCTAAGACATTGTGTGTCCTTACTGGTGATATAGACATGCTAGATACCAGTACAGTTGCTGTACAGTGAAGTACTCTTGCTACTTGATCCAGTGGAGCAGAATTCCCAGAGTCAAAGACAGTCAAATCATCCGGAGCTGAGGGAGGCATCATAGACAGAGATAAGAGAAGATAAGTCTAATGCTTCGCATGATGTTGTGTTCCTCACAGCTTCCTGTGTCCAGTGATGAAAAGATGTCATCTCCAAGGCCTTCTGTCTGTGTAGATCCTAGTGATTTGGACATGATATCCTGAGATCTGGCAATTGTCTCACTTTTATTTATCTAATTTATATTGATTACATACATTCATTTTCATGGCTGACTTAGGTGTCTCTATTTCACCTTTTTAAGTGTTTAGCAGTTGTGTATGTATGTGTATCTTCATTATATGTGTTAACATGGTTATGATAATGAACTATCATAACCTGGGGGCTTTCTTTAGTAAGTAGTGGGGGTGTCCAGCCAAGTGTGCCTAGAAATATTATATATATATACTGACATATTTTGTAGTGCCAATACTTGAGTTGCCCTACTCCAGAGATAAGTTGATCGTATATTGGCCACGGGGAATCCCTTAGACCAATACGAGCCAAACGACTCAACAAAATTATCTCTGAGTGCTGCTGGTTCTGAAGGAGAAATCCTTACATTAGGCACGCGACAGGAGTGATATGTGACACTGCTAATGACTCTCTGAAACGTTCCCAGGATTGTTGTTTTGCTTTCTTGATCCTCTGTTGGTGTCTTCGTTGTAGTCTGTAATATTTGTATATCTTCAATTTTTTTTTCACTATTTTTTTTCTTCTTCTTAACTGCTTTTTTCACCTCTTCCCACCACCAAGACGAATATTTGTTATCATTCAGTCTGATTCCTCTCTTTTTTTTTCCAACACACTTCTTCGGCAAAACAAAACAAGATTGTTTTTTCTAATGCTGTCTCTAAATTTGTTTGTAACTGTTATTTTACTCTTACTTGTTTCAAACTTTGCTATCTTGATGAGGTCATAATTTTCTAGTTAAGTTCATCTCGCGCTTCTTAAACAAGAGACATGTTGCTGTCATCACAACTATTTTATGGTCGGTGTCACATATACCGTTAGGGGTTGCTCTTGCATCAAGAAACTCCTTCATTTGACTATGTATGGTTAATATAAAGTCAGTCTGGCTCTTGATAGAGGTGTCGTTCTATGTATACATTTGTGAATCTCTATGGTCAAAAAATGTATATGTGCTAAAGTGACTGTGCTGGCTGCATAGTTCCAATACTATTTGACCATTTCCATTTCTTACACTGTTTTTAGCTGCACATGAGTCCAAATACTTTTCGTATTCTTCTCTGTTATTACCTAGTTCTAATGGCGGGGACGTGGAGTTGGGCGCAGAGGCATCAATGAAGGTTTAAAATAGGATATAATTAGAACTTCTAGAAATCCCCTGTACTGATTATAATCACTGCAGACTGAACTTTATATATATATATATATATATATATATATATATATATATATATATATATATATATATATATATATATATATATATATCCATACATGCATATACACACACACACACACATATATACATGTATATATATATATATATATATATATATATATATATATATATATATATATATATATATACGCCATACAGTATATATGTCGACGTTTGTGCTTAGGCCTTGCGAACGAGCTTCGTAATGCCGGGGCGCTGGGTTCGATCCCAGCTGCAGACGATTTGTCTTGCGCTGGTTTCGACAGTGGTACCGAAAGCTGACAGTTAAAAAAGCAATGATTAACTTCTGAACGTAATATTTTCCCAGACAAATCACAACAGCCAAAAAATGCTGGAGCTGGTTCTGCATCGTTCTGTAAAGGATACACACCTAACTTTTTTTTATACAGTACACACACACACACACACACACACACACACACACACACACACACACACATACACACAAAGCACATACACTCACACGCGAAAGCGCACACAAAACACATAAACATACACATATACTCAAGTACACACGCAAGTGCCATTGACAAAAATATACGTACTTGCTGCGATGATTCCTTCACAGGTTCCACATAGAACTCGAACGAATATCATCAGAGGATAGCTGCTCATGTACGGGGAGATAATTGTCGTTACACCCATGCCCATTAAGCTTATGAACATCAGCAGTAGAGTATTCACCTAAACACAGACAATAATTTACAGTGACAAACCTGGTGTTTGTATTTTTCGACTGTTTCTTCAGCTAACAGATAATCAGGTAATGGCATGTTCCGACTTCATATCAAACAGGCCATCCTAAAATTTGCTCAGCTGCTCTAGTGCCAACGGAAACAACACAGAGTGCATATCACTGTCCCTTGTGGGTGGGGTGGGGTGAGGGAGGGAGGGGGGGGGGGCATTGACAGTCTCCGCAAAGCTTGTTTCATAAAATGCACAAGGCAGCCATCAGAAGTGCCAACAAAATCGGTCCGGCGCTAGAAATGCAGCTCGTCATCAATGGAAGACGCAGTTACAACAGATTGGTATTTGCACAATGGTCCAGCTAGATGCAATGTTCTGTCCTACCATGACAGTGATCTAGCGAGATACACTCTTCTGTCATACAAAGACAGCGAGCTAGCTAGATACAGTGTTTGTCCTACAAAGACAGGGTCCAGCTGGATGCACTGTTCTGTCTTACCAAGACAGTGATTCAGCGAGATACACTCTTTTGTCCTACAAAGACAGCCAGCCAGCCAGATACAGTGTTCTGTCCTATTAAGACAGTGATCCAGCCACACACAATGTTTTGTTTTATTGAGAATGAGATACAGCTAGGTACAGTGTTTGTCCGACCAAGACAGTGATCCACCAAGATGCACTGTTCTGTCCTATCAAGACAGTGATCCAGCCATATACAGTGTTCTGTTCTATTGAGAATGAGATACAGCTAGATACAGTTTGTACTACCAAGACAGTGATCCACCAAGATGCATTGTTCTGTACTACTGAGACAGTGATTCAGCGAGATACCTATTTCTGTGCTACAAAGACAGTGATCCAGCTGGATATAGTGTTCTGTCCTACCAACACAATGATCCAGCTAGCAGCAGTGTTCTGTCCTACCAAGATAGTGATCTGGCCAGATAGTGTTCTTTCTTACCAATAATGAGATCTAAATAGATACAGTGTTCTGCCATATCAAGAATATGATACAGGCAGATACAGTGTTCTGTCTCACGAAGACAGTGATCCAGCCAGATACAGTGATCTATTATATTAAGAACGAAATGTAGCTAGATACAGTGTATCTTTAATCTGAGAATAATTTTAGAGGTCCATGTTGAAAATACAACATAGATCTTCATTCTTATTTATTAGTTATAGCAAGGCATTTGATTGTGTCCAACATAAGAAATTGTGGAGTATTATGAGAAGTAAATCACATTTGGTGCATTTAAGTGAAAATGTATATCATGAACAAGCAGATATCAGAGCAGCTGATAAAATATCGAGAGTGAGGCAGTACTTTCTCACCGCACCTATTCAATATATATGCAGAAAACAAAACAAGACATGCCAAAATTGACCAGACTTGTTTAAGTTATGATCCGCTTATAATTGGTGGCAACCCTATTCGGGAACTTCACTAACGAAAAAAATATTCACCGAAGAAAAAATGGTTGTCACCCAAAAAGAACAAATGATAGTGAATTGGAAATGCCACAAATTAATATCTAGGCTCTTTAATAAATAGCGATGGGGACTGATAGAAATAAAAATGAGGATGGCCATAGCAATGCAAAGATTCTTCTTTCTTCTTTTGTCAAAATCTGCTTGTGCCGCTAGGCGTCGCAGTCTATCAGATGATCGGCAACCGAGCCAGGGCGCGCTCAGTCGCTTCATATGCCGTGATGTTATGAAGTCTCAAGTTGTCCGTGACTCCTTCAATCCATCTTCTTCTTGGTCTTCCCCTGCCTCTTTGTGTTTCGATTTTCATGTTGTATGCTCTTGATGCTGGCATCGTTGGTTCCATTCTCATTAGGTGACCAAACCATTTCATTCTTTAATGCAAAGATTCAACAGCTTTAAAAGTCTGTCTTTAAGCATAAACAAATATCTCGTAGAAGTTCCTTTGCAGAAGGTCGCTTTTATCACGCGGTCCGCATAAGAGAAACTCGGGCTCTCACCAGCTCCCCCGTCTTGTGTACTTTCATATTCAAGGAGTCACTTATATCTGGTATCATGCCTTCTGCAATTATATTTTCCAATTCGCCGTGGCGCTTGATATGACAAAAATATTTCGGCTTCCGAGACAAGATGCTGTTTATTAGCGAATCTTCCTTGATGTTCAGATCTTTTAAAATGTCAGCATTTCTCCTCTTCTTTGTCCATTATATACTGTGAATCTTTCTATAGCATTTCAGCTCAAAATCCCCTATCCCCCCACCCCCCACAAGGACTGAAGATAGTCCCCGAATCACATCCGTATGTTGCTACAGGGCAGATGCAAGCTCTAAAAATCTTAATTTTGATTTCCTTGCTTGTGCTTAACCATAGACTCTTAATGCTGTTTAATCTTTGCTTCCTATCCGAAATAAGTTCTGTTAGATGTTTCTTTGTCCGTGTCTATGCCTTAAGAGTTGTGAATGCGGTTTAATATCTCCAGTACTCCGGGTTCGAAGTCATCTGCAGGCGACTTAGTTGCAGACTGCCTTGCGTTGATTTCGATGATGATATGAGTTTCGTACCGCTTAGAATGCAATAACAAACTACTGCACATAAAATTGTCTAGTTACAACAAAACAGCTGCCAGTAACTGTAGTTGTTGGTTTGTCACTTTCAAAAAGGACATGTAACTGGTTTTATAAAAACAAATATCGTTTTCCCTGTTTCAGCGGTACAACTGTCAGTGTTGCCTTACAAATAGATTCTAATACAGCGTCAGTTTATTCACAAACAGATTACATAAATAAATTCTTAACCCGGTGCACGACCCCATAGGACCGACAAGGATCTAGTTGACTGATAATTTACCTTGTTAAAGACAGCGCCAGAAATGAAAGCGCCAATCATATCCCCAGCCGTTAATGCAGTTATGAAAGCTGAGGCTCCCTCCAGGTTTGTTCCAGTAATCAGCTGTAGGTCAATTAAAGTGGTGCCAACCTGGCCAATTGTTAGACCCTGCAAATGATTGGGACCAAAAATTATTTAATAGTTTTCTTTGAATTTAGAATAAGATTTGTCACATAACTGAAAATTATTTCTTTTATGTTTTTCGCGATCACCGGCTGTAAACTCCGGCGGACAGTTCTGGTTGTGCGTCCACTTGGGCATTTTTTTTTTTTAAGGAACACAAGTGTTGCGTGCAGATCCGTGTCACAGATCTGGCTTATTTGTATGTAGACTGTTGACTCCTTGCCTCTCAGGTAGAAGCACTGCTTTTCGAAGGAAACCTTTAATTAGTCGAAACTTACGACATGCTGATTAGGGAGGCGGTGGGTTTATTCTTGTTGTCCCCACAGTGGTCCAGAAATAATGAAACCTAACTGGAAGCAAATAACTTTCCAGAGAATTAACAGTCAACCGGTCTTCGGCCATTTTGGCCATAAGTGTCGTTGGCGATAAGTGTAGGCAGTCACGACAGGCGATCTCACACGATCGTTGAAATCACAGCTGACCAGTCGGGGCATTCCCATAAGCCACCTGTTCCTATTATGGGCAGCCAGTGAAGAGTTAGAATGCTGGTGGTGCTAGTAGCAGCTTGATTATATAACCACCATGCTTTTTCTATGAATGTTGAAAAGATATCAAAACAAGTGAAAAGTAGAAATACTCAACTTCACATTATCACAAGCACAAACGAAAAGTGAACATTGTGGTAGAGAACGAACGAACGAACATACTTTTTTTTTCAAAAGTTTACAAATAGGGCACGCAGGCTCGTCTGACATTCGGCCCTTTTAACACTCATCTTTCAGAACACCATTGCATGTTATCCATAATGCATGTTATGTTTATAAAGAAAAATATACAATATAGAATAATGCATACACACATCAAGTATACACAATCATACACACTCAAGTACACATACGAGAGCTTTTATAAGCACACTACATGAATATACAATACGCAAATACGAACAAGAATACACAAAATCACTCAAATGAAGTATCTCCGAAAGAAATCACATGTCTGTCTGGCCAGTTGAATCCCTGACATGTGTGTGATCGCTGGAGGTGAAAACTAGCCATAAAAAACGGTGAACAGCGAGCTCACCCGCATTGTTGCACTTGCAGTGTTGCCACTGTGGATGTTTTACGTCCAGATTTAGATGTTTTTCCTTGCATTTAGATGGCGTTTTTGACGTTTAGATGGTAAATGTCTTTCTATATGTTTTTTTATTTGGCGTGAATTTATCAAATCTAACCTAAGAAACAGGATAAAATTTGACCTCTTAAATGCTATCTTGACAATAGAATTCGGCCTGATAAGAGTAGAAAAAGGCTGTTCCACTTATCAGCTCCCTGATTGGGTATTAAAAGAAATTGGAACAGCTAAAGCATACTAGAGTCATTTTGGATCTGAAGCTTCAACTTTATCATCAAAGCTAAGTTTATCCTGTGGATCTTGTAAGGCAGACTTCAGTAAAGATGAGAACATGATTCTTTAGGGTAAGTCATATCAATTGCTATGTAATTTGTGACTCTTTCCATTAGGATGTTTTTTCTAGATGTTTCCCCACTCAAATTTAGATGTTTTAAGATATTTTTTGGCTTCTTTTTTGATGTTTTTTGTCAAAGAAAAGTGGCAACACTGAGCACTCGTGTCATCGGGTGTTTATCGCTTGTTTGATGTCCTGGTGGGGTAGAAAGTCAGTCAGTCAGTGCCGTAACGTAAAAGTGTTCTGAGTGTTGAAAATTGACCAGACCCTCTTCCCATCCCCTGCTCATCATTCTCTTTAAGTTGAATTTGTAAAAGTGTAATGAATGAATAAATTATTATTTACACAACGAGAGAAGGCAAGTATATTTCTGCTACTACTATAATACTTTAAGGACAGAACAACGTACCATAGAAAAGAAAGACAACGTGATCAACCAAGACTGCAGTAGTTTACGTCTATGCTCTCTGTTCCCCATTCGCTGGAGCAGGCCCAAACATTCTGTTGCCCTAACTTGATCTTCCTGTTTTGTTGAAGTTTCTTGAACAACATCGTCACGCTGTCTTTTCACATCGGATGCCACGTCCACCATTTTCTGAAACATTAGGTAACGTAAGTAAAGGGTGATTTTGCTTTTTTAAACATTTCTGAACACAGTGTGGAAAAAAAAAACAGCTTTCCGATGACTCGTTTTTATTAGTTGAAATCTTCGATTTAATTAGTTGAAATCTCTTACGCGTAAAAATTATCAAGACCCAGATGGAAAAGAACCGGGAATTGATTGGTGTATCCTTAAGTTATTCTTGCGTGCAATTGGAACAATTTCACTTATTTATTTACACAGATTTTAAATGTCAAAATTACGACAATATAATGTTTCTTTCATTAGCTATATGGGTCATTTGTGTGTGTGTGTGTGTGTGTGTGTGTGTGTGTGTGTGTGTGTGTGTGTTTGTATATGGGTAGTATAGTAAGCACAGTAAAGCAACAAACCATTTCAGATCATTAGTTAATCGGATATATATGATACTAGACTTATATTTGTATGAACCAGTCGACTCTCAATCGGTGCTGTGGTTTTAACAAATCCACACAGTGTGTATTCGAACTCAAACCTTGTGCTTAACAGGAGTGCTTCTAGAACATTCTGAAATAAGTGACTGTTGAACAATCAGTATTTTCATTAACCTTTTTCAAGCAACAGGAAGTTTACCTTTACATTTTATCATTCTAAGAAGTTGTTACTCTGAGTAATAAAAATGTAAGTATGATGAGTTAAATAAAATAATAACAACACAGGATAGAAGAAATGTAAGGCACAAAAGATTATTGCGAAGTTACAATTTTACGTTTACGCTTCGACATTGCAGTCTTAGCGAATACTAACATTAAATAAGATATGAAACAAATCAAATGGTTTAGCCATGTAACAAGACTGCAATTAGACAATGTACCATAGAGCGATGTTATACAGATACAATGATAACACTCAGAGGTCGGCCGCGTAGATTATGGAGCGTAGAAATATCAGTGACCCTGTAAAACACTTTATACGAAGCGAACAGAAGGGCTCGTTCCAGAGATCTCTTTCTGCCCTAACGCTGAGAGGCTTCCTGGAGTAGAGAAAAGAAGAAGAAGACGAAACAAATCTAGGTAGGTTTTCTGTGTGTGACTACATGCTGCTTCGCAGCTCTTCCAGGAGAGCACGGTCTTACAAGACATATTCTTGGATCTCTTCACTGGCAAAGAAATGTTTGTTTTGTCATCTTCTTGAAGACCTAATTGTAGGTTTGCTGTGTATGACTACATGTTGCTTCGCAACATAAAAGCAACCGATTCTTGTTCTTCAGCATTTCGAACCATCGAGGTTCATTGCTGTTCTTCCTGTGCAGGTCGTGTATTCCAATGGGGGTTAGTTCACTGTCACTAACAAGCATGCCATAAAAGGCTACTAAATATGGGCGTTTCCTTTGAAATTGGAGTGCATCTGCCTGAGAGGCGAGGAACCCACAAATATGCCAGATTCACAAATCGGATTTGAAACTCAATTCTGCAGCAGGATCAAAGTCCACAAGTGGACAAACAACCATTAGTAATGCCCTCAACACACTAGTCATCCCATTGTGGGATGCAATTTTTCGTTAGTTTGAAGCCGAACCCTGGCTCTTGCCAGGGGCCGCAATATGACCCGGCCATAATTATGGTCTAATTGCTAAACGCGGTTTCCGGGACCTCTCCACGGGTGATCCTCATCCACATGGTGGCAGATTGTGTCATCGGATGTTTATCGCTTGTGTAATGTTCTGGTAGGGTAGAAAGTCAGTCAGTCATACAAGCAACCATAACTTTCCACCAGAGTTTACAGTGGTTGAACGGTAAGAAGAAGAAGAAGAATTACTCGCCTTCACTCATCTCTGTGACTGGCCTTCTCTCTCCTTTTGATGACTACCAAGTGTTTCTAGGTCTGTCTATATTTTCTCCCCTACAGTCTTCTTGGCTTGCCTTCTGGTATACTACCTACCATTCAGTTCTTTTGTGTACGCAGTTTTTGTCTCTCTTTATCTACCACTCTTTCCATTTGCCATAATCATTTCAGTATTTTAGCCCTCCTTTTTACTTACTTAGCAACTTAGTCGATTTGTTACAACTTCGCCACGATATAAAACGCATATTATAATTTTTGTTTTGCTTTGTTACTTTAAAGCCCTAACCTGGTTGTCGTTGGGGGCCCTAATATAACATAACGATTAAAGGAAGTTTCCGAGACTTATGCCCTGGTGATTTGTGTCACTGAGTGCTTATCGCTTGTCATGCGGTCCTGGTGAAGTTGAACGTCGCTCACTCACTTAGTCGATCCTCTTCTACTTTGCTGTTCAGACGTTTGCCAAGACAAGGCCAGACTTCTCTATCAACAGTATGCGTGTGCCTGCGTGCGTATGGTGGTGGTGGTGGTGGATTTTGTTCCATTCAAGACCTTGGTTAGTCAGGGACTGTAGGATGTTGTCTTCCTATTGAACCCTGGATCATCCTGGTGGTCTGGTTTTCAAGTTCTTGGTCTCTCATTTCTGTCGTAGTGGTCGAATCTCTCCCATTCTGCATACATGTCCGGACTATCCTCACTGTGACTGATCCACTCGAATTTGTGAGGCTAGGGCTTCAAAACCATGACGTATTGTCTGGTTGCGAACTTTGTCACCCTTGACATTTGCACTGCCTTTCTCACATACCTAATTTCTGAGGCCTGAAGCACGGTAACAATTAATGATTTCATAGTATTTAAAAAAGTTTGATAATCTGGTCAAAGTGGACTAAAAATCAGCCAGCAGATAGAGAAGAGCAGGCCAGAGGGCAAGAGGTCAACCAAGAAAGAGACAGGCAGGTGGGAATAAAAGAAACACCATTAAAACGCAACGCAATCTGACAGTAACAAAAGCTACTGTACTAGCAAAAGACATGAAACTACTTCTAACTCTTCTCTGCAACGTTACTGCTTGTTTGCTTGTCCCACCAGGACATCACACAAACGATAAACATCCAGTGTCACAAAGTGCCACCATGCGGATGAGGATCACCGTGGAGAGGTCCCAGAAAGCTCTTTCAGCCGTTATGGCCAACAATTATGGCCCAGCTGTATTCAAGGTGGGGCTTCAAAAAAAAAAAATGTCATCCCACAAAGGGATAAATAAGGATGACTGCAATGCATTAAGGCATAAGTAGTAGGACAAAGAAGAAAGAGGTAAACTAGCAGAGCCTTCTGCTTGGAAAAAAATATTAAACCACTTCTGGTGTTTGAACCGCGGCCTCCACGTGTGGGTTCCGAGCTCCCTTTTAAGGGAGACGTAGAATATGTCCACTGCCTGCCTAACAAGCATGTCGTGAAAGGCAACTAATAGGGTTTTTGCCCCAAACCAGCTCCAGCTGACGGTCTATGCTGCTGACGTCACCAAACCAGGGGAAACGAAGCGTTAACGCAGCGTTTCTCAAACATTTTTCTTCAGGCCAATACAATTTCGCGGCACACCTACCCTTAATGTGGTTTGAATACTTAGGAAAAGAACGGGGGAAAAAAAAAAACAGAGCAAATTTACTGTCAAGCAGATTTGTAAAAATTCTTGATTATTGCCGCGGCACCCAGTTTGAGAATTGCTGCGTTAACGTATCGTTAGCCCTGCTTGATGACGTCAGCAGCATGACCCATTAGCTGGATCCGGTTTTTATTCCTACCTATGAGGTCGCAGCTCATTTGCCTGACCAGTGAGGAACCAACATTTGCCTACAAGTAAGTCAGATCTGTAAAACGAATGTATAGATACAGTTTAAGTACCGGAACAATACTTCAGTTCAAAAGTAGGTGAAGAATCAGAACTTTCCTTCTGTGTTATGATTTATATATCCAGTTTCGTCCTTTTTAGGACGAAATTTTTTGTCATTTGAGGCCCTACTCTGGCTTTTGCCAGGGGCCGCAATATAGGCAGGCCATACATATGGCCAAATGTCTGAACGCGGTTTCTGGGACCTCTCCACGGCGATCCTCATCCGCATGGTGGCACTTTGTGTCATCGGGTGTTTATCGCTTGTGTGATGTCCTGGTGGGGTAGAAAGTCAGTCAGTCAGTCCTTCTGTGTTTAAAGTCGGCGAATGCTAACTAGAAAGAGAAGCAGGAGGAGGAGGAGGTAAGAGAAACAACAACAGCAAAAAGAAAGAATTTCTGATTTCATTGATGTCTGCAGTATACACGCAGTTTCACTGGAAAGTTATATTGTGTCTATCTCAGAAGTAGTCGCTCTTTGAAATTGTGGAAGACAAATTAATTTAAAACTGGATCACATTCAGTTACATACCAAAATAGGCTAAGTATCACATACTAATTACATTACGTGAATACTGGCCAGAACATACATAATACATTACCTTATTAGTGCTCAATGCCTTCTTTTAAAATGAAAAGTTGCGCGTACAGTTCAGGGATCTTAAAAACACAGCTTCAAGTAAACTCATGCATTCTAGTCAGCCAGAAATGTCCGATTATTCAAATGGCAATTATATCACTAAGTTATATAAAGACCTTGCAGGTAGCAGCAGCTTGTCGTGCCTAAATACATTATTTAAAAAAACACCAGCTTGCTGTTAGACGAAATGATCATATATATATATGAGTTAGTCATACATGTATACACACACACACACACATGAGCTGACACGCATGTCCAATTGTTTTATCTGTATACTTTGTACTGAGTTGTTGTTGTTTACCCTGCACTTTATACTTTTGAAAATAGTTATAATTAAATGTCTACTACATTAAACACGTTAATACTGTTAAACATGCAACATTTGAGGCAACGGGTCGTCGTTGTTATACATGTAACATTTGAGGCGACGGTTATACATGTAACATTTGAGGCGACGGTTATACATGTAACATTTGAGGCGACGGTTATACATGTAACACTAGTGACTGCAGGGTGCCTTTGATAAACGTTTTGCATTGGAGACTGCAGGGGTAAATGTTAAACATGATGATGATGAAAAGCACTGACAGTTTTTAAAGGTGGCACCATCTCAAACGGAGGTATCTAGACTTGACTTGAC